ACGATCACCGAGGCACTACCACCACAAGCTCCGGTGGTCACTGCAACGCTCTGACGAATTGTCTCGGGTCGAATTACGGTTGCCCGAGGAGACGACTCAACCGAACGGTCCGTCGGTGAGTTACAATCTCCATCGCACATCGACACGTCCTCCAAGCTGTCTTCTGCAATATACAAAAAATGAGATAACCATTAAAAAAATAAAACACGACTTCACAGTCAAAGCCTAGTTGATTATTTCTTGAACATTCTTTACGCTGTTATTTTGCGACGTAGTAGAGACAGTAATAATTTCGACGATCCATTCACTCCCGTTGTTAACGAAACAATAAAACGCTAGAAGAGTTGTTTTAACTGGGCCATTCTATCCCGCTTCTACGCTCTAAACGTTCTTATGAATCCGTGATTGACAGTTCAGAGCAGTTCGTGCTACCAACCATGGAAATGCAAGAGCTATTTGCTCCGAGTCATCCAGGGTTACCGCGTCGGTATGTGCCTTAAAAATTAATTAACACATCTGAGCTCCGAGGCACGATGAGCGCCAGTCTCGCTGAGGAATGCTTTAAGGGAGCCAAACCTTACAAAGCCATCGCCTAGAGTCCAATTTGAGAGGAGCGGAAAACAAATGGACGCGCCGTCCACGTAGTAAAGAAGTCTAGCACGTAGTAAAGCTTTACTGCCAACAGCCAGACCCTCGTGCCAGGATCGAATGAAGAGATGAACTGGTAGATGATCCTCGGTAAAATCAAAGAAAAGCATGTCAACATCTGCCTTTGTTTATGCCGAACATTTCGTCAGAATCTGTACACCCCAAAAACATGTGAAGGGGCTAAATAAAGACTCATCAAAACAAACCTCTGGCTTCTGGCTTATAGTTCGGTACTTTGACGATTTACTAGCCTCCATCAAGAAGATATTTCGAGACCGCCATCCTGCCGCCGACATTTAACCTGTTAGCTAACTTCACACCATGATACGTGTGCATTACCGTCAGAGAAGAAAGTTCTCCAGTCAATCGAATGAATAGACGACGACGACCCTACACTCTTGGTTTAAAGTATTTTAAGCTAAAAGGATTCAAGATGATGCATCATTACCATCATCATGATCACGCTATTCAGGCGGGTTAGACGGTGCTGCCTGCTACACTTGCCCGGGTATATTTCTAAAACTTTCACAGCACGATTGAACCTGTCCGAGCCTAGAGACGTCGACCTGAGAACCGACGATAACCGATTTTGAGGGAATGCTAGTGGAACTTAGCTGGGTGCAGATGATGAAAATTTAGGCAAAATTTTTCACCCTCTTCTGCGAGCCTGCTTCAGAACCGATCGTTTTCTTGTACCTCATATCGACGGTTATCACTCATGTGATCCGTGAATGGCAAATCGTCTAAACACTTATTCCGTAGATCTGAGGTCACTGTGACAGATAAGCGGCTGGCTCCTGTTCCAACACTGCCACAGATTTGCGTTG